AGTCCTGACAATCTGATTGAGAGGGCGAACATCAAGGACGGTAGGAATCTTCAGAGTCCTGATGTTACAGCTCCCTCATTTTACCAAGAGAAGAAAACAAGTCAGAAGATTAACAACTTGTCCATGGCAACCCAATTAGGATTGGCCAGAGCTCCTGTGTGGTTTCTACAATGATTGATGCATAATAAACAGAAGCAAATGAGGGAGAAGAAAAGAACAGCGGGGATTTTGTCCACGCTTCAGCCTATAAAAATCAAATATGAGGAATCTTTAGCAATTATAGCCAGGCTAACTAAAGTAAAGGGAACACTTACTTTTTCTTTTTTTTTTTTTTTTAAGATTTTATTTATTTATTTGACAGAGAGAGATCACAAGTAGACAGAGAGGCAGGCAGAGAGAGAGAGAGAGAGAGGGAAGCAGGGTCCCTGCTGAGCAGAGAGCCCGATGTGGGACTCGATCCCAGGACCCTGAGATCATGACCTAAGCCGAAGGCAGCGGCTTAACCCACTGAGCCACCCAGGCGCCCGGGAACACTTACTTTTTCAAAGGACTGTCATTCTTTAATCACCTTTTCTGCTAGTCCTCTTTCTTTTTTTAATTAAGATTTTGCTTATTTATTTGAGAGAGAGTGCACACACACACACGAGATGGGAGAGGGACAAGCAGACTCTATGCTGAGCACAGAGCCCCACCCAGGGCTTGATCTCACAACCCTGAGATCCTGAGCTGAGTAGAAACCAAGAGTTGGAGGCTTAACCAAATGGGCCACCCAAGGGCTTCTCTGACATTCCTCTTTAGTTACATACTAAACCACCTCTTTACTTACATACTAAGCCACTGGTCACTGTTATAACAACAATGTATCATGTACCTGTTACTACTGGCACTCACAGTTGGTAACTGTCTTCTTACTTCCCCATGCCTTTTCCTTCCAAGATACTGGATTTCTTAAAAAAAAAAAAAAAAAATTGTCCTACTGAGATATAATTTGCCTACAGTGAAATACAGTTTGGTATTGACAAACGCATACACCCAAGTAACCAACACTCTGATCAAGATAGAGAACATTTCCATCACCCCAGAAAAATTTCTCATGCCCCTCCCCAGTGACTCCCACCTCCTGGTCTGATTTCTTCACCGCAGATGAGTTATGCCTATGCTAAAACTTCATTTAATTCAGTTCTACAGTGTGTACTCTGTAGCGAACAAGATTGTCACTCATGTCGAGCAGGCGCCTGCGTCAAGCAGGGAACACGAGCAGTGAAAGGTACTGTAGCTAGGCGATATCCCTGGGACCTGTGTCAGCTGACACCCCAGAACCAATAACAAGTGGAACCAGCGGAGGTCTGCAGGGGCCCGAGACTGATTAAATCCTTTTAAAAAGGGGAGGGGTTTTGCAGCAAACTGTCAGACTCTTCAGACATGACCTCATGTTTGCCTACTTGAAAAAGGCAGCTGGCCCCGAAGGCTCTGCCCAGCTGGTCTCCTTCACTGCTTGGACATAATAAGCAGGAAGTGCCCAGAGCTGACCCGGCGGGGACCAAGGCCTTATCTCAACCGAGTGCCCACAGACTGACTTCAGAGTTTGGGTCATTAACTTCCTGCACCCTTCTGCTATCTTGTTTGTTGTGTGGTCTGTCTTATGTTCGGCTCTGTGTGCTGTGTAAGAAGCCAAGTTCAACCACATGGTGAAATGTCATTGAGTTTGGAATCCTGCACCTGTTTCGTAATTACATCAACCTTGCTTTATGATTGAATAAAACTGACACGGTGGAAAGACAAAAGTCTTGTGTGCGTCTTCATATTGTGCCCATGACACACTTTCGTGTCCAGGTTTTTCACTCAGCATAATGTTTTTCGAGATACATCACGGAGTGTATCATAGCTTATCCCTTTTGCCTTGCTGAGTGGTAGTCTTTTATAAACACATCACAGTATCCTTCTTTCTTTTGTTGAAGGACACGTGAACTATTTCTAGTTTGGGCACTAAATTTAAAAAAAAAAAAATGTTTCAGTCCTGGTACCCCTTTATCCCAACAAAAAGAAGTTTTGGGAATTGGATTTCATTACTTTTGAGATTCTGTTTTCCACTGATACTCAGATTTTTCAGGATCTCCCTCACTATATCCTTCTGCAGAAAAATCATAGTATATACATGCAACTGGAGAGGAATGAAGTCACTAACATTGAAGACTGGCAAATTTATTTGTTAATACAAGGCATAAAGGCTGAATTTGAAAACAAGTTAATATTCTGTCCAGTTTCACAATCAAATTTTGGAAAGGGTAGAAAAAGCTGAAAATGGTGATAAAAGGATAGTAAGAGGGGCAACTGGGTGGCTCAGTTGTTCATCATCTGCCTTGGGCCAGGTCATGATCCCAGTGTCCTAGGATTGAGCCCCATGTTGCATCATGTTGGGCTCCCTGCTCAGCGGGGAGCCTGCTTCTCCCTCTCCAGCTCCCCTGTGCTTATGTTCCCTCTCTCACTATCTTTCTCTGACATAAATAAATAAAACCTTTAAAAAGTAAAAAAGAAGTAAAAGGGTAGTAAGAGTACCAACTTACAGAGTTTAAAGCATTATTAGGCCCCAACAATAATTCTTAAAATTATAACTTGTGCTTACCAAGCTTTAACTAAATGCTAGACATTGTGTTAATTATTCCGTCCAATTCTTATGCTTGAGGTCAGTACATTTGTTATCCCAGTTTCATGTAGAGCACACAGATGCCCAGAGACACCAGAAAGAAATTCATTAACACTATACATAGAACATGTTCAAATGAATATATATAAAGTAAATCATAGAAACTTAAAGAAAATGAAGCAGTTAATTTTAAGTGTCTTGTGGAGTTGGGCATCTAAATAATACGAAGAGTATTTCTACTCTCTCTTTTCATCAACATTTTGCAAACTTTTCTTGAACCATAAGCTCTCTCTGTTCATGCTCACTGACTAGATGGGTGCAGTGTGCAGTCTCTACTTCCAGGGAATTATAAACCAGCTGGGCAATTATTGTTTCACAAGTAATTTAACTCTACTCTTGGAAACAAAACAGTAAGTACTTAGATATTTTAGATATACTGTTACCAATACCTCTGACTGAAATTCATGTACAGTAAGAAGGATTTCAGTGGGAAAGAGACTGGTGTAAAATTATCCTTGAGGATTCAATAAAAAATGATTTTTTTTCTCAATGCTCTCCTTGTGTTCCTTTCTCTCGCTCCCTACCCAAAGATCTTTTAGTATTCTCTTCCTTAACTGCAAAGGATTCCATTTTATTCACCCATTTAAAATAGGAAGAGTGGGGCAGAAAGTCTTCTTTTTTCTGGCAAGAAAGCCCTGCATATAATTTGGGGGAAATTTAACCCTAAGAAGCACTCGATGAGCTACATGGTTAAAATAGTTTATCCAGGGGCGCCTGGATGGCTCGGTTGGTTAAGCATCTGCCTTCGGCTCAGGTCATGATCCCAGGGTCCTGGGATTGAGCCCCGCATCGGGGTCCCTGCTCAGGGGGAGCCTGCTTCTCCCTCTCCTGCTCCCCCTGTTTGTGCTCTCTTTCTCTCTGTCAAATAGGATCTTAAAAAAAAAAAAAAAAGTTTATCCAGGGGCACCTGGTTGACTCAGTTGGTAAATTATGCAGCTCTTGACCTTGGGGTTGTAAATTCTAGCCCCATGTTGGGTATAGAGATTACTTAGAACTAAAATCTTTTTAAAAAAATTTTAAAAAGTTTTATCCGTGGTGTTATGAAAAATTGGCTTACTCTATTAGTTTGTGAGGGCAGCCCTAACAAAGTGCTATGCACTGGGTATTTAAACGGCAGAATGGATCAGAGAATGAATAGAGAGGACTCACTATGCTTTAGTCAGTCTTTTATAAGTAGTCCGTGGTGTTCAAAGTTTTAGGGTCTATGTATGGGGAAGAATTAAAAGGCATCTGAAATTCGGAAAAGAACATTGTTCATTACGATCAATTAAATTGATTCGTAAGAAACTGACCTTTCAGCAGATAAGTTATCTGCTATCGACAATTCTATGTGTCAACTTAACATTGACGAGAAATCAGAGGGTTTAGCCTATAGGAGATGGAAAGGAAAGCTCTTAGGAGCCATCATGGGGAAGATTAAAGGACTTTGCCTTAAACGTATTATACAATTCATACTTAATATCTCAATCTCAGCATTTCAGGGTTGGCCTCATACCAATAATAATATTGTCATCTCTCTTTACCCGATTAATTTTCTTTTTATAGTATTAGCTATTATAATCTTCCAAGTCTATTCTTTTTTTTTTTTTTTTTAATCTATCCCTGGATTGGGCTCGCTGCTTTACCCAGGCTGCATGTTTAAATAAACGCTGAGCTTTCGCTCTCCGCACAAAGTTCTGCTAGAGGCAAGTTCTGAGAGCTTTACTCCCCCATCCCCCCACCCCGCCCATCCTTCCCGCAACGTTAGCTGTCTGCACCTGCAAATTTTGCACTTTGCTTTCCCATCGTCCTCCTCTCTCTGAAGGGAGGAAACGGCCTCTTCTTTCCCTGAGTCCTGCTTCAGATAAACCCCGTCTTTTTGCTACCGAGGGGGGACGGGAACCCTTAGGGTAGAGGCGCTGGTGTTGAGGCTGAGTCATGTCAGCGGCCTGTTCACCAGGCACAGTTCATACACTCAAATGACACATGGGTAACACGAGGAAATCCGACAGCCAATCGGAACGCAAGCATCTTTGTGTCAAGGGCAGTAACTGCCCAGCCCGACCCGGAGGAGAAGCCCAACAGGACTTTGGGGTCAAACTTTCGGATCGCGCGCCCCGCCTCCCAGAGGACCGCTTCTGCCACGCTGCGAACGTGTCCCCGTTTCAGCTCGGGCTCAGCTGATTGGAGGCGGGCGTGCGCGCGGCCAATCCGGGGCGCCCTCCGCCGTCCTTCTCCCCGCCCCCCGCCCCGCGGCGCAGTCAGCTGCGGGCGCCCGGGGAGCCGGCGCGGCTGTCAGCTTGCGGTTTCCAAGGGTCCGCCCGAGGAAGCCGAGGCTGCGGACCCCGGCGCCCGGCCATGGCCTCCCCCGGGCTGCCGCAGCCCCCCGCCGAGGGCTCGCCCTGGCCTCTGCGCCTGCTGCCCGCGCCTCCCGGGCTGCTGCAGCTGGACCCCACTGGCGGCGCGCTCTGGCTGCTCAGCCTCGCGGCGCTGCTCGGCTGGAGCTGGCTGTGGCGGCAGCGGGCGCGGGGCATCCCTCCCGGGCCCACGCCCTGGCCCGTGGTGGGCAACTTCGGCTTCGTGCTGCTGCCTTCGTTCCTCCGACGGAAGAGCTGGCTGCACCGCCGGGCGAGGGCCGCAGGGACGGAGCCCTCGGCCCTGAGCCCGCAGTTGCTCCTGGCCGACCTGGCCCGCGTCTACGGCAACGTCTTCAGCTTCTTCATCGGCCACTACCTGGTGGTGGTCCTCAGCGACTTCCACAGCGTGCGCGAGGCGCTGGTGCAGCAGGCCGAGATCTTTAGCGACCGCCCGCGGGTGCCTCTGGTCTCCCTCGTAACCAAGGAGAAGGGTGAGCCGGAGCCTTGGGGGTCGCGGGCAGCGTGAACGCGCGATGCGGCGCCTCCTGCGCCCTTTCCAGCCGGCGCACCGAGCCCACCCGCACCCAGCCCCGAAGTGGGAGGGGAGCGGCGTCGCGTCCCGTTAACGGTGCCCTTAAGATCGTGCTGAGCTGCTGGATGGGTGGCTCATCATAGTCGGAGATCGGAAATAGGAAACCCACTGGAAAGTTAAGGAAGGGTAATGGGGACAGGGGTGGGGGTGGGAGGGATGTGTGAAAGCCAGGCTCTACCTTTCCAGGGATGCTCTGTCCTTCCGAGAACAAGGCCTCATTCTCAAGGCTGTGTCCCCAGGGGGAAACCTTGGCCGTGTTAGAAGGAGGCAGGGATATTCTTTACACCTTCTGAGTTCTGAATGAGAGCTTAAGAAGGTATTTTCCATAAGATAAAAGGTCCAGGAAACATGTTAGGAGCCTATTGGCAAACCTCTTTTACTGGGTTTGTAGCTTCTGATGTCTGCTTCCGGAAGTCCAAGTTGGGCAGTTTTGAAAGTTGGGAAACATATTACCCACTGCAATAAAAGATCACATTTACCCTTTCCCTAACTCCATCCCCCTACCCCTTTGTTTATCAGTCTTACCCTTTGTCTTACTGGCTGGTATAGATCCCAGACTTTTTTTTGTCTGAGTCAGATGTTAATTTAATTGCTTCTCATCAATCAGGTGTTACATTTAAATGTCTTTCCCTCCAGAAATTTTTTCTCACTTCCTATCCAGTTAAGCTCTCTTTTGGAACCAATTTCTGTGCACAACTGCTTTTCCTTTACTGCACTTAACAAAACTGGGGCTGCATAATTTTGTAACTGGATGTGGGTCTTCACCACTAGATTGACATCTAGGAGAATGTGAAATGCGGCATAAAGAGATCCAGGCTTTTTTGAATCTGATTAAGCCAGAGTTCTGCATCAGGATTTTAAATGAATAGAAATGATGATCATAATGTTTTAAATATCCCACTGAAAAACAACTGTCACCGTTCATAATTCACCAACTCCGTGCCTTCACACATCGCTGCTGCTTCTACCTAGAATTTTCTTTCCATCTCATGGCTGCCTGGAGGACTCCTGTTTGCTTTGCTTTGCTTTCTCTCCCCCACCCCTTTTTTTAAACTTATTTATTTGATAGACAGATCACAAGTAGGTAGAGAGGCAGGCAGGAGGAAGCAGGCTCACAGCTGAGCAGAGAGCCCGATCCTAAGACCCCGAGATCATGACCCGAGCTGAAGGCAGAGGCTTTAACCCACTGAGCCACCCAAGCTCCTCTCTCCCTTTTTATTTAAAAAAAAAAAAATTGTGGTGAGATCACGTAACATAAAATTTGCCATCTTAACCGTTTTTAAGTTCAGTGACATTAAGTCATTCACATTGTTGTGAAACCATTACAACTATCTATAGAACACTTTTCATCTTGGAAAACTGAAACATCATACCCATTAAACAAATATTTAACAACTCCCTCCTTGGGACACATGGTTGGCTCAGTTGGTGGCGCATTCAGCTGTGATCTTGGGGCCATGAGTTCAAGCCCCACGTTGGGGATAGAGATTACTCAAAATTAAACAAAAAACAAACAAAAACCCTTCCTTCTCTCTAGCCTCTGGCAACCACTGTTCTGTTTGCTGCCTCTACAAATGTGACTGTTCTAGGTACTTGATATAAGTGATATGATACATTATTTGTCCTTTTGTGGTTGACATTTTTCACTTAGCATCATGTTTTAAGGTATTTCCCTGTTGTAGCTTGTGTGAGAATTGCCTTCTTTTTTTTTTTTTTTTTTTTTGTTAATTTATTTGAGAGAGAGAGAGTGAGAGAGAGCTTGAGAGGGGAGAAGGTCAGAGGGAGAAGCAGACTCCCCATGGAGCTGGGAGCCTGATGCAGGACTGAACCCCAGGACTCCAGGATCCTGACTGGAGCTGAAGGCAGTTGCTTAACCAACTGAGCCACACAGGTGCCCAGTTGCCTTCCTTTTTAAGTCTGAATACTATTCCATTGAGTTTCTAGAACTCATTTTGTTTAGCCTTTTGTCCCCTGATGCCACTTGGGTATTTCTGCCTTTTAGTGACTATGAAAAATGCTGCTAGGAACATGGCACACATCCATTCAAGTCCTTCTCCATTTCATTCTTTTGGTAGAAACCCAGAAATAGAATTGCTTGATCATATGGCAATTCTATATTTAAGTTTTTGAGTACTATCCTACTATTTTCCATGGTGGCTGCGCCATTTTACATTCCCTGGAGGCAATGAACCAGGTTCTAGTCTGTCCACATCCTCACCCACACTTGTTATTTTCCATTTTTTTCATACCTGTGAAAGTCACCTCTTTGAGAATGTGTTTGCTGACATACTTCTCCACTCCACCAAGGAGAGGTGAGTTACCCTTTCTCCATGGTTCCACTGTTTTATTTTAAACTCTGCTCCCCTCCCACCCCGGCCAGTCAGTCAGCACATCTCATCCTTTCCTCCTGCAGACACAATTCTACATCCGTCCACTTGTTTCCATTTCCGTTGTCAGCACCCTCAGTCAGTACCACAATTTTTCATCAGACGCTTGAAGCTTCTTAACTAGCCTGCTTGCTTCCACTCTTGTTTTTTTTATCCACACAGCAGCCAAAGGGATCTCTTTTTAAAAACCATGAATCAAACTTGCCTCCAGCTCCATCCTTGACCTACTGTGCCCCAAACGACTTGGTCCCTGCCTGCCTTTCTGACTTTAGCTCTTTTGATTCTGCCTTTACTTGTACATTTCTACCTGTTCTAGAAAAATTAGGCAGATTTCTGCCAAGCTCGTGACTGTTCCAGTCTGTTGTGTTTGTTGTCCTTGGACATGGAATAACTTTTCACTTTAATCGACTCCTTATCCTCTCTCAGGCCAGTTGTCACTTTTCAGTCCTGTTTTAGACACTGCCCAATATCACAACTTATTTTATCTCGTTCATATTTCAGTCACTAAACACCGTGAAAATATTTAGGTTACTACAAGCCCCACCTACCAATAGGATATAAACTCTGTGAGGGCAAAGATTTGGTTTGTCTTGTGAACCACTGTTTCCCCACTTAATTGGTACAAGTAGGTAATCAAGAAATGAGTAGCTATGTGCATATAAGCATCTGTTGATACATTTACCACATTATAATTTTTTTGCATGTCTGATACACTTACTACATTATATTGTAATTTTTTTTTTTTGCATGTCTATCTTTTCCTCTGGATTTTTTTTTTTTAAGGTATGAGTTAGATTTCCTTCTTTGAGGTCCTTGGTGGGTTTATGGTTTGCTGAAAATCTGTAAGAAACAGTTTCTAAGTATTAGTTGGGTCACAACTTATTATTAGATCCTTTATGTAGGAAGAGACTGGGAATCTGGGGTAACTTGGTGTTTCACCATCTCAAAATATTCATTCCTGCAAGAGACAGGATTTTTTAGGTGATACTGCTCTGGTATTCTAATGGATGTGTGTTGGATCATGGACTGTAAACTGAGAAAAAAATACCGTGGCTGGTGAAGGTGAAGGAAGAACCATAGTCACAAAGGAAATACTTGTGGGGTTAACCTAGAGTAGAGAACAGATCATCTGAATAGGAAAATGGAGATAGCTGAGGAATGTTTTTAATGGAACTTTTTCAAGGGTGAAGAATAAAAGGGGAGAATGTGACTTTATTTCAAGATGTCCCTCAGAGGCAGAAGGACCAAATTCTGAGCAGACTTTATAGATCAAGAAAAGGATAGACTGAAGTTATCAGCCTGAAGAAGAGAAGCCATGAGAGCTAAAGGCTGAGCTACTTGGCTACCTTTGGCTATTGTTTCCAATGGTAGAATTATAAAATGTGAAGTTGCCTAGGAAAGAGATATGTAGAGAATAGGAGAAAGAGAAACAGTATTAGGAATTAGAGGTTAACAACATTATTGTTTACAATATATTTTTGGAGAATGTTGCTGCTAAAGTTGCAAGACTAGCAGAGAAGTGAATGTTTCATAAACAGTGATGTGTGCAGGTAGGCTTGAAATAGTTGACAGCACATTGCCAAAAAGTTCTAGAATGTGGGAGGTTGTTTATTTTGTTTATTATATTTGAATTTTTCAAAATATCGTGCTTAGACAAGTTGATCTTCTTTTAAGCCCATGAAGACTATAGTAAGCTAGATATGCCATAGAGATATTTCACATTAGCCATGGCCATCATACTCTTTAATCTATCTAATTGTTTTTCTGAGCAGGAATAGGAAATAAAGTTAAAAATTCAGAGCCAAGGCTACCAAAGAGTGCTTTACTCTAAACGTGGTCTATTTCTTCTAAAAGGTTTTGCACATCACATTTTTTTTTAAAGATTTTATTTGTTTATTTGACAGAGAGAGATCACAAGTAGACAGAGAGGCAGGCAGAGAGAGAGAGAGAGAGAGAGAGGGAAGCAGGCTCCCTGCTGAGCAGAGAGCCCGATGCGGGACTCGATTCCAGAACCCTGAGATCATGACCTGAGCCGAAGGCAGCGGCTTAACCACTGAGCCACCCAGGCGCCCCTGCACATCACATTTTTATTACAAAATATTTCAAATATGAAGTTCAGAGAGCAATATAAATTCATTTACCACTCAGATTTGCTTCAGATTCATAAACAATACAGAGCTTCATTTGGTTTTTTTTTTTTTTTTTTGAAACTTACATATGTTTTTTGTTTGTTTGTTTGAGAGAGTTCACACAAGATCGGGGAGTGGGGGCTGGGAGGGAAAGACGGAAGAATCTTAACCCATCTCCACAACCAGCATGGAGCCCCATGTGGGGGCTTGATCTCACGACCCTGAGATCATGACCCGAGCTGAAATCAAGAGTCAGATGCTTAACTGACTGAGTCACCCAGGTGCTTTGAAATTACCTTTCTACTTCCAGTTTTCGTTAGCTGATTTATTTATTTCCTTGTTGATAGAAATTAGATCCTTTCTAATTTTAAAAGATTGCTAGA